AGGTCTTAGAGACTACCCAAATGAAATTTGAGATTTTTAAAATGAAGAAAAGTAACATTAATCTAACATGAGAATCACTTTACACATGATCTATTCAAAACAAATACTCTATATATTCAGTGACAAATCCTTTTTTTAGTTTGTTAAAAAAATACTTCACTAAAAAATATGATTTTTTGTATGTGAAAGGCTTATAATGTTTATTGAAAGACTGCTAAACATTGTGAAAAAAATACTATATTAACAGTTAGTAGTATCAAATCTATAGAGTACAAAGAGGCCACGTGGTCAGTAAAATTGACTGAACACGTGTCGAGAGAGTTAATAACAGCTACATCAATGAGTGAGGTATCACTTAACAGACAATTTTCCTTGTATTTGATACAAATAGTTTCATTAAAATATATTGTTGGGTTTGGTTGCATTACCAGTTTCAAAAAACCAAACTATAGGCCTATCCCTCCTGTCCGTATAATGTTATACTTTAATAATAATAAAAAGAAGGCTTAACTCTCTCAACAGAGGCTCAGTAAATATGATTGACCACATGACCTCTTTGAATTTGTTTAGTCTTTATAGATTTAATATTTCTAACTTCCTATATAATGTGTATATCTTCACGAAATTTGGCAGTCTTTCAGTTAACATTGTAAGTCTTTCACATACAAAAAATCATATTTTTAATGAAGATTTTTAATAAAATAAAGATTTGTCCACGAACATACTGAGCATTTGTTTTGAATAGTCTGTGTGCAAAGTAATTTTCATTTTAAGATTGAAAATACTTTTCATCTCAAAAATCCCAAATTCCCTTTGTGTAATCCATAAAACCTCCTATACGCAAACATATTTTTTCAGTAAAACTTTATAGTTTATCCATTATTTTTTCTACCCTATCTCAAAACGGAATTGGTCAATTCACCCGACCTCTTAACCAAAAAAAATAAATAAATAAATAAACATAAATTAACCTTTTTCTTTCTAGAATGACTTCAAGTTGTAACATGAAACTACATTCGTTTATCCTAAGTAGCTCTAAGTTCGTAACATTATACATTTATTTATAATTAAATTTTATTGTTTTATTGCCCTTTGAACCATAAGCTACTACAAGCTGCTCGTGTGTGTGTGCCTTGTGAAACATTTTTATTATACTATTATTATTATTATTTATTTTACCTAATCTAATCTTAAAAATCCTAAAAGGATCCCAATTTCTACATTTTAGTTATTTTTATAATCATACATAAAGAATAAACATGAAAAACAAGAAATGAAATACTTAACTAATCTTTTTTTTCTTACTGTCGATTGTCAAAGAGAATTAACCCTAATTTTTTTTACTAAAAATAGTAATGCACGTAATAACTTTTATTTAATTAAATAATGCATCAAAGAATATAGACTAATAACATGCAAAAAGTATACAAATTCCCTTACCTCTTAAAATTTTTCTGGCTTTCTAACTATGCAACAAGTCATTACAAATTCATCCAAGCTAGTTGTTAACTTTCTCATGGGAACAATGTTGGTACTCTGAGTGAAATGGACATTTAACTGTTCAGAACATAATGTTATAAAATACATTATTTGATAGAAGAAAACCTTGACTTTCCATTGGTAATAGGTAATATATATTTAAACATAAGAGAGAACTATTAAAAAATTCTGAAAGAGAGGATGTGATAGGTAGGTGTGGCAGGAAGGGTCTGATATTCTATTTGATAGTTCTGTAACCAAAAAAAATTGAAGACTATAAAAATTATGGTTGGCCTGAGCAATAACGATTTTATAGAGAGTAATTTATGTTTAATTTCGTACTTTTTCGAGGGGTGGTGAATAAGATAAGGAAGATGACATGCTAAAAGAAAATGTCATGTGGATCACACAAGGGAATTCAGGATTTTTAAAATACTGCTTTGTAAAATTAAAAACTTAACACTTACATAATATTAAAATATGGATTATTAGCTAAGGTTTTATCCTATAGTAATTGGTATAACAAACAAAAAGTAGTTCAATAACATTTTGAATGTAAGGCACTAAAACCTTGTTTAACCCATTAACTGCGGATGATGGATATTTCCGTCATTGAAGTTCTATGGCTCAGCTGCAACTGACCAAAATATTCGTCAGTCACACATATATAACTCTATGCGAATGACAATAATTACCACCTTATTGTGATTGATGGCAACTCAGTTTTATCTGCGAGTCAGAAAACGGCAACTGAGCTGCTCCTGCAGCAGTTAATAAGTTAATGCGCAGTAAAGGATGCCCGCGGTGATACGGTTAATACAAGAATAAATATTACCTTGTATATTTCTTCAGCCTTCTTATAGTAAGGGATGAGTTTTAACACTTCCTGTAAGTTATCTACAGCTTTTTCTAGGATATCTTGATAATAAAGGCACATTCCTTTGATATACAGGGCATCCACATTTGAGGCATCAATACGAAGTATATCACTATAACATAAAGAAATAAATATAACAACAGACAGAGAAAATGATGAATATTTACACCTAACTCTGAACAAAGTCTGGACCGATTCAGATCAAGCCAAAATCAAACTACAGAAGACATGATCCAGATAAAATGTAACAAATGATAAAATAAGGTGTATGTTTATTGTTTTATTTTGTATGATGGTTCAGGCAGAAGCCCTTCATCAGACAGTCAGTACTTTGCCACTTAGAAACTAGACTAAGAATGCTTTTAAATATACAGGGGCAAATATTTTTAGTAAGACTAAAACTTGAAATTAATTATAGAACAAAACCATCACATTTGTAATTTCTAAAACTGGAAGAACTGCTATTGTTTTTAGTTAAGCATAAAACTATGTAATGGGCTATCTGTGCTATGCCCACTATGGTATCAAAACCCAGTTTTTAGCTTTATAAGCCTTCAGACTTACCCTTGAGTCATTGGGGAACAGCTAGAAGAAACAAACTTGGTAGTTCACAAACTTAAAAAAAACACGTCAATAATACTGAATTTCAAATGTTTAGTAACTGTTCTTTTAACAAGTACAGAACATCGGCTTACTTGCTAATATGCTTAGCTTCTTGGTATCGTTTGAGAAAGACCATGCACTCTGCTTTGATAAGTCTGAATGTGGTACAGGCTTTGGCTTGGATAAGAGCCTTATCCATGCAGAAGATGACCTGTACAATGTAAATCAAACATTAACCACAACTTAAATATATGCAAGTCACACATGAACCACTTTACCTAATCATCTATTAAACTTATAAAAAATGAAGGATTCTTAAAAGAACCACAAATTAGACAAAAGATAAAAATACAACTTCCATGCACATACGTAAGCCTTTTATTAATACTTTTTTGATCTCAGCAAAAATAATTAGTTACTTCTATAACAAATGATTTTTACATTTATTTTTAGTACATTATTTTGTATTGTACAAATGCTAATTTATTCTGAAATACTAATCAGAAATTATCAAACACCATGGAAGGATAAAAGATGTTTAATTCAAAGGATGCACAACCTTACTCAAATACATTTACAGTTGATGTGAAGAAATCTGTACAGAGGTTTTGAACACACTATACTCTCATTGACACATCTTGGCATTACTAAACAAATACCAGAGTAAAACTGTTGAGTGATCAAAACAACTGATTTCCAGAAAACATTAAAAAAAGTGGAGCAAATATTTAAATATCCTAAAAACATTTTAATCTGCTTTAATAGTAAATGTCTAAGAAATGTGTATATACACACACACAAAAAAAAAATGGCATATACCTTTTGGAAATCTTTCTTTTTATAAGCTTTCCTTCCTTCTTCAATAAAAAACTTGAGTTGTGATAAGTGCTTTTTCTGCAAAACAAAGTTTTAAAAACAACATTTTCAATAACTTTTCATGAAATAAAAAGTGTTTAAAATATTGGTAAAAACTCGTTAGTACAAGTTGTTGCAGTTACATCAAACTAATCAACAGCAGTTGATAAAGTTCAAAAGTGATACTTTGAAAATAAATAACACAATACTGCACAAGCAACATTTAAAAATTATGTAATATTTCATAGTTAGTAGGTTTTGTACAAAGTTTTGTCAAAAAATCTATAAAAAAAGTAATTAAACAGAGGTCAGAATCGAGCATTCAACTTGTACAACAAAACACACTGGAGTTTACCACCAGGCCATGCTGGCTTACTTGCAGAGGGTGTGAAAGTTCCTAATTTTCTTATATGTGCTTCCTGGTGAAAGTAACTTTAGGGCCCAATTTCTCTGTGAAAACACCATATAATAAGGAAGAACCGTTTTGTGATTCAGGGCATAAAAACGCATCTGTCAAATAATATTCTGGCCAATTTTGGGTGTGAAAGTTGCTAAGGTATCAATGTAAGTTGAAAAATGTGTGTTTTTAATTCCATAAGACTCAAAAATGAAACCTTGAAACTTTTCGGAATTCTTAAAGTCCATAAAGTACGGAAACAAAAATGGATGTCTAATCATTAATTATATTTATAAAAATTAATTATTTTTTATCACACAACAAATATGCTTATCCAAGAGGCTACTAGAATACTCCTTTCTGTATCAGCTAGTGTTACTCTCAATACACAGTACTTCATATTTATATTTATATTTTTTATATTTATAAAAATTAATTATTTTTTATCACACAGCAAGTATGCTTATCCAAGAGGCTACTAGAATACCTCTTTCTGTATCAGCTAGTGTTACTCTCAATACACAGTACTTCGTATTACTTATTTAGGATTTTTAAAATATGTAAAAGAATAAAACAAATCAGACATCATGAACACAATTATACAACTAGAAACGAGTTTTATGGCTAAATCTTACACACCTTACCTGAAAATATACTTCAGAAAGATACTCACTTCTCCACAGGATAATTAGCTAGCAATTCAATGCTACTGCCAAAAAGCTTTTTCCCATACAACAAGCTATTAAAAGAACTCTCATCCCTGCACATAATAAATATTCTGCTCTCTGTTGCAATCAAAATCAGACTATACACCTCCATCAGTAGGAGGGCGACACAAACCTTCTTGCACAATATTTTCTTCAGCACTTTGAATATATCAAAATCAAATTCATGATAGGGAGATAAGGCAGGTGTCTCTATGGAGAGGTTAGCATCTATCTGAAATACATTTTTGGGTATGGAAAATGTTAACTTCAGACAAGGTTATTACTCACCTATCCACAGAACAAATAGCTAGAATCTAACATTGAAGAGATGGTGTAAAGAAAGAAGTAAAAAGGGTGGATTCCTTTACAAGACTAAAGTGACAGAAAGGGAAACTCGTATTCCAGGATGCTGGAGGACTATATAAACAAAATGTTGCTAGGGTAATATACCAAGCCATACAATATGTCAGAAATACTTACAAGAATATGCAGGTGCAGGGATGAATCATCCCAAACCTGTGTCACAAGGAGAATTCAAAACCCTTCCAATTGATCACAATCACCAATAATGACCTGGTTCTTAGTGATGGGGTGGCCTGTAGTACTCTTCCAGGTTGACACGCTGGCCTATTTCCAGTCGAGAGGTACGTCCATTAACTCACGTACCAGCAGGATTAGAGAAACCCAAAAGAAGTACCCCTCTTATTGTATGTGACATTTCTATGTGATGTAGTGGTGAGGTAATCATCTTTCTGTGAATGAGGATGTTCAGAAATGACAGAATTTATATGTTGGAGGAAGTTTTCAAAACTTGTTTGTCTACATAACCAACTTACAGTGATATTATCTATGTTATTTGGTCAAGTCAGGCTGTTATGTGAGGAATCACTGGGAATTTATTGGACAATGCCAGAAAAATCTACACTGGAGAAGAAACTAACCTCCTGGAAAATATTCTTAAAAACAACAGTCATCCTACCATCTACAACCTGAAAAAACAAGACTAAAACAAAACCAAAATTACCATTTATTCCTAAACTATGCAAGAAATTCAAGAGGTTATGTCACAAGTTTAACATAAAAGTATATTTTAAACACAAAAAAAACTCCAAAACACCCCTAAAGAAAGTGAAACAACCCATTAACATGCGAAAACAAGAAAAACTAACCTAAAAAATACCAGGTTCATGTAGAAATACATATATATGTTGGAGAAACAGGTAGAACTACAAAACTAATACTAAAAGAACATAGGGATGCAACTACAACACATCTGGATCAATCAGCATGACAAAACATAATTACAAAACAGGCCATGGATCATCAACAGTAACTGAAGAATCCTTTTACATGAAGTTTCACAAACTTACATTTAACTGCAACTGAGATCAGTAACTTACAGATCTCTTTACCAAACTACACATAATGAATTATTACATCACAAAATGCACTCCCAAATATGCATGAAGGAATAAGTACACAAGACCGTGCTAACCAACAAAAATGTACTACAAAGTTAACACCTTTAACTCTGACCTGAAGAAAGCTTTAGTATAGAAGCTGAAATGTTGTTTCACTCTAGAAACAGGTAGAAGCAATCCATTTAAGCTAAATCTCTACTACTAGGACCTCCCTTTTTGTTGTTGTTCACAAAACTGATATTGATTATTGGCTCCTGCCTATACCCTGTCCCAGGGTTAACGATGACAAGCAAGTTCCTATCAAGGAAACCATACCATTGTCTCTTGAACACTTCTCAGACACTTTGCACTTTGATTATATTAAGAAAAGAAAATAAGTATAAAAATGATAATTATTTTTAGAAGCTTTAACTGAAATTATTTTCAATTTAAAAGTTCTGCACTTTCAAAAGATGCATTAAACAAAAGACCAAAGTAAACAATGAATCTAAACAGTGTAGTGCCAAGGAAAATAAAAGAGCTTTTGGTTTTAACTAAAATGCTTAAGGGAAGTAATGCACAAGGAGACTGTTTTGCTCTCCTATTGGTGGAGGGTATAGTCTAAATGTTGACTGCATAATACAGTAGTGCAGTACATGTTACTCCGTGCAGGGGTGAGAGCTCTTACAACAGCTTGTTGTATGCACAAAACTTTTAGCACTACTCAGGTGCTGGCTAACTGAGGTGAGTAACGCTATGAATTACTCACTTCTTCTGAAAGGGAAGGATGGTCAGGATAAAGTTCTTGTATTCTTTGTAGTGAAGAGGAAGCTGATGAAACATCTCCTAAAGCAATATGACACCTGACTTCTTGAAGGTATCCCTGCTGGAACAAGATTGTTGGAAATTTAAACCTTTCAGCTAAGTTTAATATTACATGTAAAATACCAACACACCAGTAATCTATACATATCACCCCAAACTCCTAAGCAACCAATTTCATGTATTTAAATTAGCTAGTTGCTGTGCTTAATGGTAAGGAACTTTCAGAATTTATGCTAAAATACTTTGAAAACCATCAACGTTAAAGAAGTTTAAAAACACAACAGGTTTTTATAATACCACTTCGCTTTAAGATATTAAATAATTAAAAAAATCAAAACTTTATTACAGTAATAGAACTTCAACTAATAAAATGCTTTATCAATAATATTTTTAGAGCAAACAACTTACCTTTGCATAATGTTTATCAAGTTGTAATGCTTGATAAACATCCTCTAAAGCTTTTTCGTACTGGCCGAGCATCATTAAACAAGAAGCCTTATTTCCATGGTATGCTGAGGAGTTGGGACATAGTTCTAAAAAAAAACAAGGTTTGTTCTATGAAAATCTATGCTATAACTTAAATTGCTATGGAAGTTTTCTCCACACATAAACTGTTTGAAGTCTTTTTTTTTTTCACTATGATTATGTAAACTTCTGATGACTCTCACAGCAACTTAAGAGAGTCAGTAGAAGCTTGCAAAAAAAGATTAAGGAAACTTTACATGACTTGTATATGTTTGACACATAAAAACAAGATTTGCCTCTGTGTCACGAGTGCACAACTATTCACACACACACATATACATGTGTATATATATATATATATATACATATAAGAATTCCACAGACAATAAAAAAGATCATTTCTGAGATCAATACAGAACTGAGGAGAAAAGCTGGCAGGGTGGGGGATCAAGGTATGTTTCCTAATCACAACCAGCAGTACAGGTCAGTCTTACATATATTACACTTAACTCCACATTTCTCCTTAGTCATGGTATCATAAGTCTTACAGCACCTACAAATAAATGTAAAGATCTTGCAGAATTATGGAACTTCATGATTACGAGAGCCTATACATGATTAGTCAGTTATCCCAGAACAAGAAAAAAAGCAAAGGCCTCCCTGTCTAGTGGGTGGAACCCCTGCAGTTTTTGAATGACGATCATATGCACCTTGTGTTATCATAACGTAGCAACCTTATTGACATTAAAGTCACATAATGTGACCTTTGACTATATGAAAATTATCAAAATTTAATTTAATCATATGGCGTATTTCTATAATTAAAATGCACAGAAGTCATTAAAAGTATAAAACATTTTTGATTAAAGGTACTTCTTTTGAGATACTTTTTCTCTTTAAATCTACAATGATTTGGTCACTGAAACTAGCTTCACCAAACCTCAAAGCTTGAGATGATATACAGTAAAGCTTGTATATATTTTTAATGACCACTATGCATGTTTGTGTGTATATATTTATACACAGCTACATATAGAAACAAGATTTACCCCCTTATGTCAGTATATAGTATTGTCATACGGCTTCAAATTAATGGCAACCCGGTTCCCAACGATGAGTAAAAATTACACAGAGTGACCTAAAACTTGCCCATATATTAAACACACCAGGTGCCCAAGTTAACTTGATACATCCAAAATCTCTCATTATATTACTGTCAACACACAAGCATGTCTGAGTAGCAATTATTACTTGACTGGTATTTGTTTAGTTTGGCTTGTAGATCCTATGGTTGTACCTGAGCTCACTACATGGAATGCAACAAAACACAATATGTTTGTTTTTCTGTGAAGATCAAAATTAGGAATATTCAACTTGTAACTATTGGTCAAACAGCAGTATATAATGACATAAGGGGAATGCCATCGTTTTACTGATGTATATACATATAGGGAAACGATATGCCCCTTTCTCATTACGTAATGCTGTTCGACAGATATATATACACACATACATATACTGAAACAAGATGTACCCCTTTATGTCATTATGTACTAAACAAATATATAAATATTTACACATGAATCAAGATGTGCCACTATGTCATTATGTACCGTCGTTTGACAGATATATACATATACAGAAACAAGATGTGCCCCTTTATGTCACTGTGTACTACTGTCCAACAGATATCTACAGAAACAAGATGTGCCACTATGTCATTAGGTACTGTTGTTTGACAAATATACACATATACCTATAGAAAGCCTCAGTAAAGAAGTCAAAGTATCATCTTTTCACTCAATAGGCAGTTGTAGTCCGTTAAAGTTTATATGGCTTATAGTACCTGATTCAATACGCCGAAGGCTGTTATCATCAACAACTCCTTAGAAATCAGTCAATCAAGATAAAGAAGACAGACTGTTGGTGATTAAGTATTTTAGTTAAACTAGTGCCGTGTTAGTACCATACACATGCTCCCTTACCTATGGCACTTTTGTACATACTCAGAGCTTCTCTGTATTTTTTATCTTTGTAAAAAAAATTCCCCTCTTCATTTTTTCTTTCTGCTAATCTGAAATTCACAAAAAAGTCACTGCATCTTTATCAAGGCTAAGAGAAAAACAATCTTTTTTATAAAATATCTGAAACAGAGCTTTTGCTATTAAACACACACTTCATAATTTTAAAGGATCTCACTAACACACATTAACCCTCAAGCATGGACCTGGACACACTGACAAACCTGTAACCACTACCTAACCATGAAACTATACATACCAGAACTCTGAAATTTATTAAGTGAATCTTCACAAAATTTAGTAAGCTTTTAGTAAGCATTAGAAAAAAATCTGTTTTACACAAAAATACACATTTCTTTAATTAAGTATTTCTTCCAAACACTAGTCTGTGAATTTATGAAATCAGTCTCACTCAGTACGAGTGCAAGATGATTTTCATGTTAAGAATAAAAAAACGTCATCTTTCAGTTTTCATATTTTATTTGCATAACCTCTAGAACTTCCTATATGAAAATCAAATTTATATTCTATATGTTGTTTTCTCTACCCTAACACAACTGTTGCCTAGTCCTCAATGTACAGTGAAATGAAAAGTTAACAATAGTGAAACAAAATTAAAATATCTTTTTGTTCTTAGTCTTTCAGTACATAATTTGTTTTCATATCTTGAGTTGATGTTATTGATAATTTAAACCTTTTCACAGTATTTTATAGTTTTACTGTCTGAATTGTATGATGTAGTTTATTCATCCCTAATAATGGGAAGACATTTAGCAGATTCCCATATACCCAGCTAGCAAGCCAAACCTTGAAATTTTATCTAACTTCTCCAAAACAACATTCATTTCAAAACATATATAATAAGAAATTCACTAAAATAGAATGTCCAAACACAATTATAATTTAACTGTCTAACTAAGATATTAACAAGTTAAAAAAAAGGAAAAAGTTATTAAATGCTGCAAATATTAACTTCACTTATGTCCATATTACATAAACATTAATACCTCATTTTCAGAAGGACCACTGCAAGTTTGAAACTTAAAATAAGATCTTTCTACTGGTTATGGAAAAAAAGTGCCATGGTTTTGAAAACTGCCTTCAAAGCCAAAGATAGATGGGCAGGGCTCCTGTCATAGGTTGGGAAGGTTTATTAATATCTCACTAAATGGAGAAGTTGGGATGCTGAAATTGTACATTGCACCTTGAAATTATCTATAGGTTGTGTATGCATAACACAGACAAAAAGTATATACTACAGTGTACTGAAATTATACAAACTAACGGAGGAAAACTGAGTGCTCACTTGTACCTGTGTAGGTTGAAAGTTTTGTTTTGAAATTAAGAAGTTAACACTTAGATAATATAAAAACTTAAATTATAAACTACATTTCGATGTTAATTATATTTACATGCACTAATAACACATTTATTTAACCCTCTTGCTACGGGTAGGTCAAAGTACTTTGTTGTCCTTGTATATTTTATCACATTTACAGTGCATCCAGGGGGTTTGAAAATATAGGAAATTCAAAGGTAAATATAGGAATATCTGGAGGAAATACTGGGTATAATTTTCAAAATATAGTTTCAAATAAGGCCAGTGTACCACATTTGAAATTAAATTATGGGAAGACAAAGAAAAATACTAGAAACAAATATTGTATGGTGACCCCCTCCACCCCTTAGAGTCACTCCTGCTACACCATTTTATTCACTTTAAAACAAATATGAAGGCTGACTACATAATCATGTAAATACATTCAAAATGTGTACCAACATGCATGTTAATATTCTATTGGAATAAGCTAACAAATCATGTGCACGAGTCATACTTGGTTACTAATATTTTTGTCATATTTAACACATGATGCATTCAATTTTTATTTGACTCAATTAAGCTATAGTAAAAATATGTTACATTTAATGAGTAAATATTTAAACATTAACATAATATCCTTACTCTAAGATGTATAAGCAAATATCAGAGATACTTCAATACAACTAATACAATTTATTTTCATAGTACGTCAACCAGACTAGAGCAACAGAAAAAATGAAACTACAAACAGTTAATCTGAATGATTTAATACAGAAGGCAACCCATTCGGTAGTATACCCGAAGAAAAGTTCTTGACACGGTGGTAGTCAACTTCCTCGACCTATCGAGAAGTATGCTGTTGCTAGTAGCAAAATTAACAGAATTTTAAAATATTGATCACAAAACAAAATAAGTAATTCTTTGTATATATATTAAACAGTATTTAGGTAATAAGCTGAAAATACTTACCCTATCGATATTTCTTATTCTCATTCCCTATGGAAATCAAAATCGAAGAAGCATATATATATATTTTCTTCTGTAAAACATAATGAAAACATGCCAAGCCTTGACACATTTTGAATGAATCTCACAAATTATAACCATTAAACAAAAACGCTTTCACCTATGTAACGAAAAATGTGGTCCATGAGTCAATTTTGCTTGGAGTGCACACAGAATCAGTACAAGCCGCACACATTTACCACGGAAAAAAAAAAGGTGGTCTATTTTTCCACCATAGGGTTTGGAATATATACAGAAGCACTATTAGCCACACAAAGTTACCTAAAAAACAACACAGAACCTGTTGTTCCATCAGACTGTTGTAATAAGTGATATATGGGATACATTTCAGTGCCAAAAAAAAGGAGGGGGGTATGTATATAGGCTTTTTAGGCCTACATTATGATTAACAATCAGCTCTATATGTTACACCCAGCTGTACATTAAGAAAGCTAGGCTCAGACAAAGTTTACTGAAAAACAAAAAAAAATCTGGCAGACCATTTTCAAATATCTGTTACTGTCTCCAGTCAATTTTTTAATAATTGGTTAACTGTAATGTCTAAAAAAAGTTCTAAGCCACCTTGTGCTCCGGCCATCAAAAGAATAAATAATTGTTACCAAAACAAACAGATACAAACATCCTTACCTTTGCACAATAATATATTGCTCAGAAATTTTAACTTCAACCCCTAAAGACCCAAGATTGCAAGTTGCCACATGGTCTGATTACGAACATCATAATAATAGCAAATATTTAATTGGAGTTGCTCCAAATTTAGCTATAACTTTCCTATCACCTGTTTACAATGGTAGAGCTTCAGAACAAGGCAGTGATGGTTGCTTCAGATTTTTTTGATAAACTTGAACCATATGACATTGAAAGAAGCCAGGAAAGGTCTTAACACTTAGGATTAATGTGCAGCCAGACTAATTCATTTGCATGACCCCCTGGTAAGCATGGTCAGGCACAACTGTCTGCAGTGGTAAATATTAAAACTAGTCAACTTGCCAACTTAAGGATATTGGTTGAACAGGTGATAAGATGTTTAAAAACATTTTGCTTAATCAGGCATGGAGTATCCATAGGTTTAATCCCAGCTCTTGATTAGTTCCTAAGTGTTTGTGCTGCTTTTAGTAATTTAAAAGTCCTATATATAAAGATTAAGTCAGTGACCATTATTTGTTAATAAAGTACATGGGCATTGTAACACTAAATGTGGTTGATGTCAACATTAACTCTTTCAACTCAGGCTCAGTCCCTGGGACCAACCTCATAACCATTTTATGGTTGTTAGTTTTCATGCTATAACTTTTAAATTAGTAAGCAAATGTTAACGAAATTTGGCAGTTTATCAATAAACATTACAATGCTTTCATACATAAAATATCTAATTTGTTTTATTGAGTCTTAAGGTTTGTAAAGCAATGTTTCTCTTATGCCTTTCTTTCTTTCCACATCTTGCCTATCTATCATGCAAAGTAATTTTTCATCTTAACATTAAAAATACTTTTATCCATTAGAAAATTTCACATGCAAAATCTTTATAATGTCCAAATAGTTATCATACGTTTCTTAAGAAAAAACTTTATATTTTATCTGTTATTTTCAGTTTAGACGAAATAGCTTAAATCTCATAAAATACATTTATATATATTTATGGTTTTATTATATTGTCCTTTCACCCGCGCCTGGTAAACAAAGTTACAACAACGTAGCTCATGTGCATTCACGTTACCACATGCAATAACATAAAACTGATCTTTGGTCTGTACAAAGTAACTTGTCTTGGCTGTGTTTTAGTCAACTAGTATTTTGTAAAATACAGTCATATTTCAATTATTATACATTATATATGTATATAGATTATTGCTATTTTGAAACAAGTTCTTAAAGTTATTTTCCCTAAAACATAGAACACTAAATAAAGAATTAAAGCAAACAATTATCTCTTCTAGTTAAGATCTTTGTATTCGGCTGCTGCTCAATGTAGGTTGCTAAGCCTTTAAAAATTTTGCACATGGAAGACATGAAACAAAATATTTTTTTTTTAGGTTTTATATATACTTTTGAATAACTAAAAAAACCACATATTACAACATCAATACCACAAAATTCTACTATAATTTATCAAACGTAGTAACAAAGATGTATTTGGGTCTTAAAAAATATGCAAATTCGAGCAGACTAAAGACACAACCCAGCTCATTGAAATCTTGATTTAAAAGAAAGAAATGACGCTAGGTATGTAAGAAAGGTTTAGTAAATGACTAGGAAGACATTCTGAGCTTCCAATTGGTTATTCATGTCATATATAAAAGTAAGTGTTTAATAATGCTTATTAGTTTCAAAGTGGGTTCCTTGTCATCGAATTTGAAGTAAGTGTTTATAATGGAGCGTTTCCAAAAATGGAAGGAGGTAAGCGTGGTGCCACTATGTTGAATTTATTACGTGAGCAATATCTTAGGAAATAGAAAAGATAAGACCTTCTTATTTTATATTCTGGCTTGTCAATATCTGTAATTTGAGTTTCTAATTCGAATGAAACTATAGACTTAGTACTTTGACTTCACAAACATCTAATTTGAACCAGTGCTGCATTCAACATACCACATGACACACAAAAATCAATGTTCATCTGTTTTTTTAATATTTACTTTTAAATTAACAAATTGAGTAATGTATAGTTCTAACATTTGAACTATAATCTACACTTTGATAACAAACTTACTGACATAAATTCATGAAATAGCAGTTCAATAAAATTTTGAATGTGAGTCAACAAACAAGATGACATGGCCTTTCACCTGCGACCCGTATCGAAAGGGTTAAACATATAGTGGTAGAGTGGTTCATAAATTGTTCAGAATAAGTCCATTTCTATAATATATTTAAATACTTTATCTCTGTGACATGCACTGATATCAATAAATATTTTGACATGTCGAATCTCAGTATTTGTCTGTTCACTTTGTTACTGTTAAGACACTAAGTAACCTATCATGGCAGTTATCCTATACCCTTGCCAGTGGTAGCCAGGCTTTTTCTCTTTTTGAAAATGCTGGCTTTGAATTTTGATTTTCCCTTGGGCATGTCTGTTCACTTAGAGCATAGACAGACAGACCTACTTTAGGTAATGGATACAAAACTATGGTCAACAAATGGTTGCCATTATAGGCGATAATATAGCAAAACTGGTAATTATTGGCTTCATGCTCTGTCATCATAGATTCCATAAAGTTAACCTAAAATTACCATATATAACATTAACATCTCTAACTGATTTAAAGGCATACCTTCACCATATCCTGTCATAAGCCACATGCTGGTTTGTTTCCCCTTCAAATTAAACTGGGTCATTACCGTCGCCAAACTGTGTCTCTGTGTATTCACCGACATGAATTTAGAATGGTAATTATGATTTTCTGAAAAGACTGAGTTAATTTTCATTTTCTGTGGGGTGGTTGTGTAGCAGTAGCCTTAGTTTAACGAGTTGAAGGGCCATATTGTTCCATCTTTGTATACGTTAAAAGAACAGAAAATACCTTCTTCTGATAAAAAAAAATTGCCATAGTTGTAATATTCTATAAATATATATTTTATTTCTGCTAAATATAACCGTTTTTCCGTGTTCATATATCATTTCTTTTGCAACGTCACATACAATAACCTTCACTAATAGCAAGGATATCCCATAAGGCTATTTACCAATATAATCTAACCTATCCCATAAGGCCATATCTTAAAGGGCGTGATAAATTGTTAATTTTAACGTCGCAATAACGATATTTTTTCTAAAACGTAATTACAGTGTCCATAGCACAGCTTTAAAAACAAACCTAATATCCGTTATTTTCAGCTTGACCTTAAATTAAGAACGGGACTCTAAATTTCTTACTTTGAAAATGTAGGAGTTTCTGGTTTATGATTCTCAATAGTAACCACAGTCGTTTCAAGGTAACATTTGCAATCCTCTTTCTTGGGCGCCATTTTCAGAATGAATCAAAACTGCGACATCTGTTGGTTAAAATGTATAGTTAAGGTTGGTTACACCCTGGGCCCGCGCTGTTAGAGACGGGATACGGAAACGGTTGATTTCACCACTATTGACGTAATGGAAAGTCACAGATTACGAATACTCATAATCCCGCGACGATAAGAGCATAAGGAAACAGAAAAGTTATTGTTTCAAGATGAAGGAAAATATTTATTACAGAGAAATACACACATATATACATGTGACCATGCAACGTTTCGACCTTCTACTCACCATCAGACAAGAGAAAATAACGATAATTGACACATTAGAGAATACAAAATCAAAATAATGTTCTAATCGCGTGAAGCGAGAACAACAATAAAATTAACCAACAGTATTATTCACTATTTATAAACAGTATCTATGGGGACGAAAAAGGATTATTAAAAACCTTTACTTCTATTTTTGTAGAAACATCTCCAATTGTTAAAGTGGTTTATTATAAACTCATTTTATAGTATAAGTTGCTCTAAAACAAATTAAGTATATAGGAGGAGTGTGTAATATTAAAAACAGGGGACATTTGTTTTATGGATAGACTTCTTTCATTAACAATTAACGGTCAGAATTACAATTACAAAGAATGATGAATACTGAGTGAGTTATCGGATTTCCAATTTTATTTCTGTGGTTCCGGATCAGTGAATTGGATGGACTTAAAAGGATTTTACCTGACCTCAATCAGACTCCCATGTGCTCGAGGATGCGAATGGTAAAATGTCGTTTAGTTTTCCCGATATAGGCGGCCTTTAGTCACCACACGTGTAT